GATCTCATGGATGAGTTGGGAGGGTCTGCAGTGTATTCAAAAATAGATTTGAGAGCAGGGTATCACCAGGTCAGAATGGATCCCTTAGACATTCAGAAGATGGCTTTTAGGACCCATAGTGGTCACTATGAATATCTGGTTGTGCCATTTGTCTTAACTAACGCGTCTGCTACCTTTCAAGGACTGATGAATGATGTGTTCAGGGCGTACCTGAGGAAGTTTGTACTCATATTTTTTGATAACATACTCATCTATAGTACTAATATGGAGCAGCATTGTTGCATCTGAGAGAGGTATTTGAAGTGATGAGGCAGAAGAAGCTATTTTCGAAGAGGAGTAAGTGTGCTTTTGTTACTAACAGGGTAGAGTACCTTGGCCACTTTATTGAGAAAGATGGAGTGCCAACGGATCCCAGTAAGGTGAAAGCCATAGCAGAATGGCCACAACCTACTAACTTGAAGAAGTTGCGGGGATTTCTGGGACTTGCAGGTTATTATAGAAGATTCGTTAAAAATTTTGGAGCTATTGCAAGACTATTAACCGCACTGGCAAAGAAGGATGCATTTACATGGAATGAGGAAGCACAACAATCGTTTGAGAATCTGAAGTAGTTGGCGTGTGAAGCTCCAGTGTTAGCTCATCCTCGTTTTGATAGACCATTTTTGGTGGAGACAGATGCTTGTGGTAATGGTATTAGGGCAGTTTTGATGCAGAATGGTCATCCATTATCTTATATCAGTCGTCATCTTATGGGCAAGCAACTGAACTTGTCAATATATGAGAAAGAATTGCTAGCTGTGGTGTTTGCAGTGCAGAAGTGGAGACACTATCTACTCACGGCTCATTTCATTATCAAGACAGACCAGAGAAGTCTCAAGTACCTTCTTGAGCAACGTTTGAATACTCTTATTCAACAGCAATGGCTACCTAAGCTATTGGAATTCGACTATGAGATTCAATACAAGCAGGAGAAGGATAATGTAGCTGCAGATGCTCTTTCTATAGTAGACGGTTCTGAGATTTTGCACATGGCTATGACAGTGATGGAGTGTGATCTAATGAAGAAGATACATGAAGCGTATGAAAGTGACTTAGCCACTAAACAGTTGATTGAAGCACTCAAAATCAACAAGAATGCAAAGAGGTTTTACTCTTGGAACCAGGATGTGTTGAGAAGAAAGAGTACAATTGTCATACCTGAGAATGTTACATTGAAGAATATGATACTGCAGTGGTTACATGGATCAGGTCAAGGAAGACATTCAGGACGTGAGTGACGTTACAGAGATTTAAAGGTCTTTTCAATTGGAAGGGCATGGCTAAAGATATTCATGCATATCTGAGGAGTTGTTATGTTTGTCAGCAGTGCAAGTATGATAATGCAGCTTCACCAGGATACTACAGCCGTTACCTATTCCTGAAGCTATTTGGAGAGATATTTCTATGGACTTCATTGATGGACTTTCGATGTCATTTGGAAAAATTGTGATCTTTGTTGTGGTGGACAAGCTAAGCAAAGCAGCTCACTTTATGGCTTTAAGTCATCCCTATTTGGAAATATCAATGGCTCTGGTGTTTCTTGACACGGTCTTCAAGATCCATGGGTTTCCTAGTTCAATTGTCAGTGACAGAGACTCGGTTTTCTTAAGTGAGTTTTGGCAAGAGCTATTCAAACTACAGGGTTGTTCACTGGTTATGAGTACAGCATATCATCCTCAAAGTGATGGCCAAACAGAGGTGGTTAACAGGTGTTTGGAGACGTATTTGAGATGTATGAAAAGTGATAAGCCTCATTTGTGGAGCAAGTGGTTACCCTTGGTCGGGTTCTGTACAACACGAACTTTTACACAACAGCACAAGCAACAACATATGAGATTGTCTAACGGTCAAACACCTCCAGTTCATTTGCCTTATTTACGAGTCCAAGGTTCAGGTGGTGGCAAAGTGCTTACAAGATAGAGAAGACATGTTGTTATGCTCAAGTTTCATTTACTACGAGCTCAGCATCACATGAAACAAATGGCTGATCAACAGAGGAGTGAGAGGAGCTTTCAGATTGGTGATTTGGTGTACGTCAAGCTTCAACCATATCGACAACACTCGGTGGTATCTCGTTCTAATCAGAAGCTGGCCCCTAAGTACTATGGTCCTTACAAGGTATTGGATACAAGAGGGAAGGTGTCTTATAAGCTGGAGTTACCGAGTTCTTTAAAAGTCCATCCAGTTTTTCATGTTTCTCAACTTAAGAAGGCCGTGGGGGATGTGACTACTACAACTCAACTTCCTTCAGTTCTTTATGAGACCACTTTGAAGGAACCAGAGTATGTTAAAGGGAGGAAGATGGTACAACGTCAGGGGAAGGCTGCGACAATGGTGCTTGTGAAGTGGACTAATGGTAATGATGAGGAGGCGACTTGGGAGTTTCTTTTTGAGATGCAGAGGAAGTTTCCGGAGTTTGAGTTTTATAGAAACCTTGTGGACAAGATTTTTTAGAGGGGGAGGATTTGGTACATGGAATGAAGAGAAGAGTATTTGGACACGTGGAAGTGGAAGAGTGGTGATTGAAGGTTGTTAGAATCTGTTGGAGAGATACCAACGGCTCCATTCAGATGTTGACAGTTGGCTTGCGTGCGAGGAAAGAAACAGAGTGTCGAGTATAAAGAACTCTGTTTCTCATTATGATTTTCTTATCCAGAAATTGTGTAACAAAACTTTCTATGACTTTCTTTTCTCTTTCTCTGTAATTCCTTGATACTTTCCAGGAAAACTCGATTTGATTCATAAGTAAATGTTGTTCTTCGCTTTCAATCTTTTACAAGTGGATTTTAGTTCTTTGTTTACTTGAACATTGAGCTAACATACGGAATCTCCGTATTAGAGGGACATCAAAGTTGCCACAGATCTGAACCCTGACATCCACCGACAAAACTAGGGCTTTAGTATATCAGCAAGAAGACAGAGGAGACAAGGAAAGCAAAAGAGAAACCGAGAGGGGAGGAGAAGAGTCCGCCGACGACATCGTCTAACGCCACCGCACGCCGGAGACAAGCAAGAATCTGTTTTGGATCTGGTTTAGAGAGAAGGTAGAGGGTTTAGAGAGAGAAATTTTCTCGTTAAGAATTAGGTTTACATACATTTTTTTTCATATGTTCCTCATGTGCGCATTGGCCTATTGGGGTTCATGGAAAGTTTGTATTTGATGAAAGTATAGCCAGGAACTGCATGTTTGAACCACATTATGCTACTCCCAACCACCTTGCCGCATTTGTCCCTGATTTGTTCATGTGTCTTAGCTGTTAAGAAGTGCTTCTTATATGTATGCACTCAACCAATATGATCACTGATAGGTCTGTTTTTAAAAGTATGTCCAAGGTGCATTTGTGCGGAATCCAATTTTTATTTTTTATATTTCTAGTTATAATTTAGGATCTGTTTTTCAAACTTAAAACCCATTTTCAAATTGTTTTAGATGAACAATGTATTGGACCTTTTAAAACATTGAGATATATCTGGTCACTGTGACAAGAACATGTTCAAGATGAATGCGGTAATACTTCTGAAATATGCGGCTCAATCTTCCATTAATATTCCATTGAGATTGAGCTGTGACAACTTTAGTTTGATAAACACCTACTGAATCCAAAGTTGATTTTTCTGCTAGTGTTTTTATGTTCACCCTTAATTAGAGTTCCTATTTTAACATTTTGTGTGCAGGTGAAAAAAAAAACTATTTGGGCTTTGACAACATAAGAAAAGTTGCGAGGCCTCGGAAAAGCTAGGACGAAACGCCACGTCCAAACTACGTAGTTATATCATACATGAACATGAACCAAATTAGTTGAAATATTTTTGATATTAAAAAAATGATGATGTCAGAGTAGCTGTCAGGATATATTTTTTTTAATGCTATACAGGTACATTGATGAAATGCATATAAAGTCAAAGTTAAGGGTCTAACAATTTTTATTCAAAATAATGATTGTTAGGTGGGTTTAAAAAGCTAAACAAGGGTTTGAGTTTCACGATACTAGTAGAATTAGAAGATGAGAATGCGCGTGGATTGACTTGTTTAGCTGTAAATTTGCGGAACCTTGTAAGCTGTCACTAAAATATTGGGGAACAACCTTTTATAATACTTCTATAATTATTATTAAATTAATATTGTAGAATCATTACATTTTATATTAAGAAATAATATTTACATTTTATTATAGTATTATTTTATGCCTGCAAATAAATAGAGTAACATCCATATATACTAAAGTAAAAATGAACAATTCATATATAATTACTATAATTAATTAATATGTTACTTGTGATAGACATTATCAAGACTGACAACAAAAGATCTATTTATTAAATAGATTAACATCAACATATGACAGCTTCTGCCATCCCCTGCTCGCATATACCATCATTCCAGTTAACATATAACAACGAATATCTACAATACCTTTTCTAACATAGACGATTATAATAATTTCGTAAAATAGTTATTATTTGGAAGTTTAACTAGTTAAGTCATGCTTTCAGATAACATAGAGTTGATTATTTACTCGTCACACGTCACATATGCATGGAAACATTGGTAAAAGTTGTTGTACTTTAAAGCTGGCGTTATAACGCGGTTAAGCAAAAAAATAAGCAAATTATACTCAGTCAAACGAAACCTAGATAACCAATCTAAACACAACACTTGACATGCTAAATGGATCTCAGACTAATCTCGGTTACAAAGATAAGCACGTGTCAGAGCCCTGTGCATCAGTTTGGTGCTCCTCCATGTAGATGATTCTTCAAGGAAACTTCAGAAACCTAAACACGGCAAGTCAAAAAAAGAGAAGAAAAACATAAATAAATAAAGAAAAACACGCAATGATTTTCAAACCGCCATTGTCAAGCTAAGCCATGTTAAATGATTTGCACAATTAAATATATAGAACCCAACCATGCGTATATATATAGAACCTATGTTCTCTCATCATTCCACACCATCATACAAAGAACAAGAGCTTAAAACATAAAACATACTTTCAATCTTCAGAGAAAAAAAAAAACAGTTAATCAAATCTAAAGATGAGTCCTAAGGCATTTCAAGTTATGATCTTTCTTGGTTTCTTGGCCACTTCTTGTATCTCTCAAGCTCCGGCGCCGGCACCAACCACCACCACCGTTTCTCCACCGACGTCACTTCCTCCGGTGACAGCAGAAACACCTTCTCCAGTTGCTTCACCGCCTGTTCCAGTTAACGAGCCAACTTCTGCTCCAACCACTTCTCCAACAACATCTCCGGTTGCTTCTCCTCCTCAGACCGATGCTCCATCTCCTGGTCCTTCCGCAGGATTAACTCCTACTTCGGCTCCAGCTCCCGGACCAGACACCGACGTCGCTGATGCGCCTGGAAGCGCTGCATGGGCTAACCAAGCTTTCCTTGTGGGAACATTTGTTGCCGGAGCACTTTACGCTGTCGTTTTGGCTTAGAGATCTTTTGAGTTCGGTGGATGCTTTGTTCCTCTCCTTTTCGATTATTGTTTTATTAATTACTTCTTTCGTTCGCATATATTTTGTATAATTCTTATTGTCATGAGGATATGGACATATAGATATTATTATTCATTTTTTCTATAAACTAGAAGTGTTCTTTCGAATGAACAAATCTTTGGTTGGTTGGCCTTAACTAAGGTACAAACAACTATCCCGTGTCCATCTTCGTTGTTAGCAATTTCGATAGGAGTACGATACACAATGATAAACGTGAAAGTATGAAGGATAATGCGAGACACATCTCAAATCAATCTCTTTTTAGATCAACGTCGATCCACATTATTGATAAAAATTAGTTTAAAAAAAAACGTCCACATTATTGGTGTAGCCAAACACACCGGAAGTATCACAGAATCTTTTTCACAAATGTTTACATCACCAAAAATGCTAGTTTAGAACTAAAACCGACTTGGAAATTTAAGTACATTGCTGAAAGCAGAAAGGAAATTATGCAAAATTAAATGAAAATATAATATGAACAGAATATCAAAAAGTTGTTAATGTCACCAAAAAATTTAAGACATTGAGATTTATTTATTTATTTATGGTTATAAGAAAAGTGGCTGTTACGAATTATATCATTCTAGAAAAGGATGATATTTCCTTGTAATGAGAGATTGAAATATAAACTTTCAAGATTTGTGTCACTGTTATCTTGAGAATCTTGTAAGCAGTTAAATTTTTCTATAGAAAACTTGTTAAGTTTGTGTTTAGGTTTCTTGTAAGTTATATTAAAAAATAATCTCTAGTTAAATGTTTCTTGACAAAAGAAACTTTGATATCTTTTTTCTTTTTTTTTGCTAAGAAGGTAATGTAGGTCTGATAAAAATACAAAGTACTTGTATCCCATCTGCTGTCAAGCAAGCTTGAGCTAAGAACCCCAGAAAAGATAAAAAGGATTCTTTTTGGTCTAACATTGAGCTAATCCATAATTGGACACATCACAAAAACTTCACAGTTCTTACTATTTCAGCCATTTCATAAAACAGTTAACATGTGTTTACATTCAGATAAGATCATACGTAGAGGGAGAAACCTAGAAGTTGTACTTGTCAAACATACAAATTACGGATGGTAGAAACCACAGAAATATTGACAAAGACAACTGGACTGTAGTTTAAGAAGGTATCCTTAAATGTTTCGAAAGAAATCGATACTGTCAAGGGCTAAAATGCATTGAACTCCATTTCACCATGATCCCATCTTAGAGTGAACTAGAGTTCGAAATACGTTAGCATACTTGATCATATCTCATCATTTTTGTTGATGTAAGAGATTCGTACGTACGTGTGGGAATGGAATCATCTGTTTTGGATTTGACTATTTTATGTGAATTTTGTATCAAAGACAAAAACGTTCAAGTTACTGTGCTAACAGATCCCAAAACGTTAGAAAACGTTTAACATCAAATCCTCAAGCTGCTTGTTCTTCTTATTCTTCAATCATTTTTTCAATTTTTGCTTTCCCAAAGCATTAACCATGTCAAAAACCAAATCCACAGTGTTACCCCACCGTAGACTGTCAGAAACTAGTCAAATCATGGCAGTTATTCATTGTTTTATCTTTGTTGGAAGATTATTTCTTTACTACGTTAAACAATGATCTTTTCTTACAATATCCAAAGACAAAAAAAAAGGAAAGTTTATAATTCACAATAATCATGCCAACAAACAAAATGATGACTGGCTTTTTATATAACCAAAATTCTAATAAAACAAATGAACTCAAAAACATATACGTAAAATTGCAATACATGATCCTTTCGATACAAAAACAAAGAACTCGAGTGAAGTTCGCAAAAGAAAAATAACTTGCCATTTTTCTAATGATACTTAAGGCGCCAAAACCATAACTAAGATCATACTGATCACTCTTAGAAGACCAACGTTACCAGAGATTGATAGAGTCGCACAATTAGGAGGTGGGACTAACGAGTGGAACCTTACCAGTGATTGATAAACCATAGCCTTTAAGGCCAACGTAATGCGCTGGATTATTAGTCATCACCTTCATCGTTCTAACTCCAAGATCCCTCAGTATCTGCATCAACCAACATTTCAGCTCTTTGATTTTCAAACTTTGCAAATATTAACAAGATGACAGTAAAAAGATTCAGTTTTTGTTTTATTACTTGTGCTCCAATGCCGTATTCTCTCGAAGCAACAGGAAATGAAACACCCTCGGGTTGATCTGAAGTGTTGTCGTAAGTACGAGGCTTGTGGGTTAGGTCAATGCCTTTAGCTTCAGGCCCACGTAAGTACACAAACACACCTCTCCCAGTTTCTTCAATCTGTCTCATAGCAATCGCTAATTGCTTTCCACCAGAGCCATTTCCAAATATATCATCTGTGATACATTCAGCGTGTACTCTCACCAGAACATCCTTCCCATCTCCCACTTCTCCCTGTGATTTTTCATCGAAGTTTAGTAATAAAATACAAAAGGTTGAGTTTCAAATTAGGGTTTTGTTTACTTACTTTAACCATTGCAATGTGCTCAACTCCATCAAGTAATGACTTGAAGCAATATGCTTTAAAAGGTCCCCACATTGTCGGTATAGGCGCCACTGCAGTAAACTCCACCAGTCTCTCTCTTTTCCTTCGGTACCTACCAAACAAAGAGGAAAAACATCAGTAACTGAGAGTTGCTAGTATCTGATCTTGAAGTGTTTGTATTATACCTGATTAGATCAGCGATTGAGATGATTTTCAAGTTGTTCTCTTGAGCAAACTGGCGGAGTCTTGGTAACCTAGCCATGGAACCATCATCATCTACAATCTCACACAAAACCGAAACTGGTTCCAAACCAGCTAACACAGTTAGATCAACAGAAGCTTCTGTATGCCCTGCTCTTTTAAGAACACCGCCTTCTCTGTATCTCAAAGGAAAGATATGACCAGGACGATTGAAATCTTGAGGCTTTGAATCTTTCGACGCAAGAGCTAATATTGTTTGTGCCCTATCACGTGCTGAGACACCCGTCGATGTTCTGTTCTTAGCATCCTGAAAACATTCTTTTCATCAGAACACTAAAGAGAGTCATTTGAGTAACAACAACAAAAGACAAAAAAGGTTTGAACTTACCACAGAAACAGTGAAGGCTGTGCGGAGAAACTCCTCGTTCTCCTTTCGAGTCACCATTAAAGGAAGCTCTAACCTCTCCAAGTCTTCTCCTTTCATACTCACACATACGATTCCAGTCCCATGCTTCACCACAAAAGCCATAGCTTCAGGTGTCACCAACGATGCCGCCATAATCAAATCTCCTTCATTCTCTCTATCCTCATCATCTACAACAATCACCAACTACAAACAAAACAAAATGACAAAACTTTCACTTAACATCCTCTCCTAAGACAGAAAATATATGTTCTAACAATTTTTTTTCCAAAAATCAGTTTAGGCGTTAATCCTTTACAAAATGTTTTTCCAAAAATCAGATTAGGCCTAGCGATTTTTTGAACATTACTATCTTTGCTACTATTACACAAACCTTGCCATGACGAATATCCTCAATAGCTTGTGGAATAGAGGCAAACCCATCAGTAGGACGATCAAGATCAAACTCTTCATCATCAACTTCAGATGAAACCATCGTTGTGGGAATCATCTCTGCTGCTAATGTTCCGAAAGAAACCAGATCCGGCTGCAACTCAATCCCCATTGATCCATTACTCTTGGAGGAAGAAGAGAACACATCTCCTTCCTCCTCAGACATTACTCTCATTCTAACATTGTTTAATCTCTTTGGTATGAGCTTAGGACACATCAACGTCTTCCTGAATGGTCTTGTCCTCGTAACAACATCACTGCAAACGAAAACAAAAACCATCATGGCCTAAACCTAAAACGCGTTTCAACTGCAGAAACGCAAACGCGCACACAGCTTAAAGAGTGATTCAACTTATCGCAATTCAACCAATCAAACAGCCAAACCTTATCGAAACTATCAAAATTCAAACTGAGACACGCACACACGCAAGCAGGCTAGACCTAAAAGCGCGTTTCAACTGCAGAAACGCAAACGCGCACACAGCTAAGAGATAGCGATTCAACTAACCAACAGCAAAACCTTATCGGAACTATCAATTCAAATTGAGACACCCACGAGTAGACCTAAAACGCGTTTCAATTGCGGAAAACGCGAGCAACGACGATATAACGTAAACGCGCACGCAGCCAAGAGATAGCGATTCAACAGCCAAAACCTTATCGGAACTATCAAGTCAAATTGAGAAACCCGCGCCTAAACCTAAAACGCGTTCAACGACTATATACCGCAAACGCAAACACAGGTAAGAGATGGCGATTCGACTTAATCGCGATTCAACCAATCAGTTGAAATTGAGATGCACACACGCAAGCAGGGTAGGTGAAATTGAGATATACCGCGAGGGAAGAAGAAGATACGACGAGTGGCATCGCAGATTGAGAGAGGCCATTTTCATGTTTGGTTGGAGGGAGGAGGAGAGAGTGAGCCACCGCCACAAAACTACTGTGCTTTTTGCCGGTGATCTTTTCGCTGCTGATGTGGCAGTTTCGTAAGATATTTTTTTCTGTTCTGCTGTGGATAAGCACGCGGACTCTCTCCTCGGTGACGGCGTCGTTTGAATTAATACGATGTCGTATCAGGTGGAAACACAAATCTCTTTTATGTTTTTTTTTTTTAAATCTATCTATACTAAAGAATATAATCAACATCTGCAATGTACACCTCAGCATATTTATATCATATTGAATTAATGACATGTCTTTTTTCTGACAAAAATATCTACATTACATATGCACTTAACTTTTTTTAATCTATCTTTTCACGAAAAAAATTTTGGTACAAAAACCAATTACCTTCCTTAGTTTTGATTTCTATTAAAAACGCTCATATTATTTGATTTCTATTAAAGAGAGCTTTTGTTTGTAAAAAAGAAAGTAGAATTATAATAAACACTCTCTTTTGATTTTTGTTTCATGTTCTTTCTATCTATTGCAGCGCCACATCTCATTCCAGCTCCATCAATAGTGGGTGTTACATCTTTATATATTTTTCTCCGCAGTAAAATAATTTAATAATGTTCCTATCATATCTTAACTTCTCTTAAATCATAGTATATTTTAAAATTATGTTTCTCTTTTCGTTTCTTGATTAATGAAAAAGACGTAATTGAAGAGCATGCTTCTCTTCAATCATGCAACTTACGAAAAGAACCATGTTGATTCTCTTTCATTACAACTACCAAGTATGTCAGTATGATCTATTTGATACATGATACTATTTGTAAGTGCTCTTTGTAGTGGTCAACAGTCACTCAAGTTCTTTTTTTTTTTGGTTGACAGAATTAATCTCAAGATACATGCTATTGAACTGGATTATAAAAGAATAAAGCTGCAAAACTGAGATACTACTAGACAAGAGAGATTCGGACTATCACAACTGGTTTCTCTTAGTTTTGATTTAGTATATCCCGGATTTTTCTTCTCAATTCATCTTACTATATATGCATTCTTTCTCTTTCCTCACTATGGCGGGACTTGTAGTACACTAGCACTCACCTATGTGTTTCTTCTTATTGCAGCATAGAACGGTGGAATTATGGGAATTTCGCTTGCGTATGATGTCACCGACAATCATATTTCAACAACAAGTATTCTCTTTACTTTTAACTTACAGTTTTATTGCTTCAATTTTAGGCAGCCTCATGCAACTGTCTAAAGCTTACAAGTTAAAATTGATCAATTTTTTAAATTTTCAGTGGATAAGCTTTTACATCGTATGTGTTTTCTTAACTTTGAAAAGCTAATTCAATTGTTTGGATAATTATCATTATTTTCTGTATCAGTTTTTTTTTTCTAGAGCAAATATCTTTTGTAACAGTTATTGATTCTCTACTATAGTTTTGAATTTCAAATATTAGTTATCTTTTTTTATTCAAAGAGTCTTATCATAACTTCTCTATGGATATGCTCTTTATGATTTGCTTAGTTTTTGTAAGCTTTCTAGTGTCTTTGCATCATTTTGTTAGAACCAAAATCTTCATCATATTCACATTAGTGAGTTTGTTTGGTATTATGTACGCTTGTGAATCTTAAGTAAGAAATTCCTTCTTGCTAATTTCTAGATTTTCTATTTTCATAGTTTTCACACATATGTTGTAATGGTTCTGTCATTAATTAAATTTTGGTGACCTGGTTATATGTGTATGCACCATGCAGAACAATGGAACAATAGTCACTTGCTAAGATGGTGATCAAAGATTTGATAACTTTAAACTTGAATTTGTCTGGAATTGGAGAAGACATCTGGTTATTTGATCATTTTAATGATGAGATAAAATCAAATTAATTTATTAAGCCATCGATAAAACACTACACTTGCATGGTTAATGTGTTGGGTGAAGCAGAGCTATTGGAGGAAGCCGAAACAATGATAAAAGAACATAAGAGTGGAAGAAGCCACTATTATATGGAGCTCTTTTCCTTCTTTTTGCAGAAAAAACGGTAACATTGATATGGCTGAATGATTAGTAAAGTGTTTGATAAAGTTGGATCTAGATGAAACTTGTGCTTATGTGCACATATCTAATGCTTGCTATTTATGGAGGGTTGAACAGAGGGTTTTATGAAGGAAACACAAGTGAAAAGGAAGTACGGAGCAGCTCGATGGGGGTAGTTCGCAGAACATGAACAACAAATTCAATGTCAAATATTATCTGAAACTTGTGCTGGTGGATGAAGAGGATTGTTGTTACTTCAAGCAACAAAAAATGGCGTTATACATGTTCAAAGAGGAGACATTTGGATGTTTACAGAAAGAAAATAACAAATAAAAAAAATCAATATTAATATTTTAAAATATATAGTGGTTGATTTTACTGTTAAAAAAATATTTGAATTATATGTTAATTTAGCTATTTTCAAAAAATTCAAATAAACGAGATGACAAAAATAATTTAGTTTGTTACCAACTTCCATGTATTTTGATATTGAAAAAAACTAAATTTTAATAATTTTAAATTTAAAGTCAACAGAAACAATACAAAAATTTATAAACTTATCTAATAAATTATGTAGCATATTTCAGTATAAGTATAAAATATATAGTCAAATGCATTTTATAATAAACTAAATTAATATAGGGAAAAAACCGGGCATAGCCCAGAAAAATCTCTAATACTAATAAAATAGATTATTTGAAGTTCCATGGAACATCCACATTAACAAAAAAGAATTTCCAGAAAGATGCCATATGGCATTATTACATTATCATAAAAATAAAGAATAAATAAATATACAAAATTATATTAAAATATTATCAATCGATATAAAAGCACAAAATTAGAAATAAGACACTAAACATAACATTTATTTGAAAAAGATATATAGTTTTACATTTTAAGTAATCTTACAATACTAAAAATTGGATATCCTCAACTTTTAAACTACTAAATATTCTTTCTTATCATTTTTCTTTCCATACGATCTCTATTACCCTAGATGTGGGATATCCATCTTCATTAAACTATCGATCAATTTTCTCTCCACACAATTTCCTTTCAGCCATATTCATCTTCCTTGCTAAATATATGTCAATTAAACATGCCTGCATAAAAACAATTAATCTTTTTTCCTCATATCCCTTTGCAATATCTTATTGGTTTGATATAATATGGCCTTTGCTTTTACTTTTGATCTTAGAAGGCTACACAACAAAAACAAAGATTGAGATGGCTTATGCCTATAGATTGAGACATTGAGTCAGTGCAAATTTTGGATTTTAAGCTCATAGATGGCATGCAATCTTCAAGTAAAAGGTAAGGAACATTCTCTTCTTTTAGATCCAATTTTTATTCATCTAGACGTATTACAACTTATCTCATTGTTAAACATATCATATATTTTGGTTAGTAAAATTACTACACATATGACATTGTTTTATAGAAAAGACGTAAAGTATCTAACAAAATGAACTTCTTCTGTGTTTCCTAACGCTATGGATATGTTAGAACTTCAAAAAGAGATATGTCAATATAAACCCATTCACCTTTTTTTTTTTTTTTTCTATTGTAACTCATGAATAATTCTTGTCTATAATTTCAAAAGACAATTTTCTTTATAATTTCAATGCATAGTCTTAACATGCAGACTAATAACTATAAAACAATAAACTATAAAGTAAGGTCTATTGTTTCACTCCTTAGAGCAGTCAGACAAACAACATAAACTTGAAAGTCCATTCTATTTTGAAACTCTTGAGTTGTGTGATTCACTTTCTGTTTCATTTCAATTGTATTTCCTGTGACACTGGCTTAAGGAATGCATGTCAGTTACAAATTCTTACGAGATAAACTCAACCAAACTTGGTGTTTGGTGTGGATCTAAACAGAGTATACATATACTAAGTTCCCAAATTAGAGACATGATTGTGTCAATATGAAATTGAATCCACCTTTGTTTAAATTCATTACAACCAGAGCCAATATTATATGTAACTATAATGAAATTATGTAAGTTAGTTCATACTGAATGTTTCTAACTATTATGTAATGGATTCTGTTATGAGTCTAAGTTATTCGTGTGTATCAAGCAATTTAAAGGAAGATGAATACAGTCGTAAATGAGTAATTTAACTTAAAGTCTTTATGGTAATATTGAATCTTACGAAAATATTTGATCCTTTCAAAAGTTATTGTATTCATACATTTGAAAATATGAAACAATTCAAATATGAAAGTATCTTATATTTTAAAACAGAAGTCATGACTTGACTTCATGTGTGATTTTTTTAAAAATGGACTATTACTAGAATGTCATGTTACATTAACTCTCTAATAATCTTATCAT